CCTTTCCATTTGTGGATTGAGAGGTTAATTCGTGTTTTCAAATTGTCCACTCTTAGACAATGCATTTTTGGTATTCTTGATAATTAGGTTTATTTATTTTTCAAGCATCTGCATACAGTTTCTTCCTAATTGTTTTTATTCGTTCATCCTTTTAAATTTGAAATGTAATTGTTGAATGATGTTTGTGCCCGTGAAGCTATATGATAAATAGCAATCCTTCCATTCTTGATTCTTATTTTTCCTTGTTTTCAGTTGCTCGCACTAGGAAGCGAGCAGTTGCAGTTGGATCCTCGTTAAAGTCTAATAAGAAAGTTTCAAGTTTGGTAGACAAGGTAGGATTTTTTAAAATAAAAATATGTAGATTTTCTTATTTCATTTGCTGTATTATTTCCTCTTCAATGTGAAATTGATATTAGTTTCTAATATTTGACCTTTCTGGTCTCTTTCTGTTATTAGTGGAAGGCAGCTAAAGAGGAGATGCTTGAAGAAGAGGAAGAACCTGACAGTGTGTATGAGGCCTTAGAAAGAAAGCGCCAAAGGGAAATAGAGGTTTGCATGTGGAACTTACCTTCATTAAACGTTTCAGTCTTCGGGATCTTTGTCTCTCAATTTCCTTTGATTTTAGGAGTGGCATGCCAAGCAAATTGCAAGTGGAGAGGCCAAAGATAATGCTAATTTTCAGCCTCTTGGTGGTGATTGGTATGGAACTCCAGAAACCTTTAATTTCACATTAACCCGTCCATCTTGCACAATAATTAGATTTCTTGTTTTCAGGCGAGAGAAGGTCAAACGCAAGAGAGCACAGGCAGCAAAAGAATCTGGTAGCAAACCGCAAGATGCTATTAAGCAGAACCAACAACAACCAGATCTGACTGAACTCGCCAAGGGTCTCCCAAGTAATTGGCAGGTATGTGTTCATTAACCTTTTTAATGCGCTCTTTAAAACAATCGCATTCAGTATGCTGCTGCAATATCTGTTGTCCTCACTTCTAGAGAGAGAAATTTGATTTGAGAAGGATGGGTTAAAAGCACTTCTGATTACAGAATTTATATTTCTGCTTCAACTGAGCTAACTTGGGGTAACCACTTTTCTTGAGTGTTTTCAACTACTAGTAAACTTGTTTCTTAAGCAAATAGTAATAAGTCATAACCATAACTTCTATACACCGAACCTTATTCATTTTCTCTATAAACCATGAAACTGAGTCATTTTGTCTTACTCATTTTTACTTGGTATTCAGGCTTATTGGGACGATAGTACAAAACAGATTTATTATGGTAACACCATCACCTCGGAGACAACATGGACTAGGCCAACAAGATGAGCTAACAAAGGATTTTAATGCTTAGAACTTTTTGTTTCTCTTTTCCTCGTATTGTGTTAGTAGGCTTTAATTAGTGTCTGGGGGGCATGCTAGAAAACCGAGATATTTGATTTATTCCTGACCTTTATATGTACTACGACAGAGCATTTCTAAATAGCAGCTCACTTTTTTGTTTGAAATGGTGGTGGTGGTGGTGGTGGTGCAGAATTGAACCATGGTAAATATTGTTATTGTGGACCATTTTTGTGTGTATAATTCAAAGGAAAGGAAGGGACATATAAGACGTAGAGCTGTTTCCACAAATTTCTTCATGACGATTTCCTATATGAATTTTTAATTTATATGTAAGGTAGAAAAATAAAACTTATAAAAAAATATGATTTTTTATTTGTTAATTTTAAGTTATGAAAAAGTTAAGATAATTTTCTATTTCAAGTGTTTGTTTTTTCTCTATGAAAAAACTTGTTGAAATAGAAGTATTGAAATTTCACGGAAACTGGTTTGGTTTGCAAAATATATAATACAGATGAGCCTTGGAATGGAAAATAATGAAAATCAGTTGAAATGTGTAAAATCTGGTGAAAATCAACGATCAACCGTTTGCAGCATTTGCTGTCTCAATTTAAAGAATTTGTGGAGACACTTATTTCAGTAACATCTTTCTTTTGTTCTTTTTCTTCATTTTTTCTGTATCAATTTGATGTTTTAACGAGCAAATCAATTTTTACCGTTAAAGTAAAAGCGATGAAAAGTAACACTTTAAAGAAATTATATCTTTTTTAGTCTTAATTAATTGTTTTAATTAATTTGATTATTTTTAATTGTATTTTTATTAAACTTTTTTTTTATATTTTTAATTGAGTATTTTAATATTCTAATTGAAAGTGTGTTTGACGTCAAGCACAATTTCATCAAAGATTATTAACAAGAATAATTTCATATAGTAGTGAGATGTCTTGGTTAAAAGTAGACTAAATAGAGATGGTGCTATCATTAGTAGTGTAATAATTTTTATAATATTATCATCATTAGTACTTTTAATAACAAAATAATATAAGAAGAGTCATTATTAGTATGATAGAGACAATTTGTAAGAATTTAGAAAATCAAGTATTAGAGGGAAGAGAGTGTTTTAAATAATAAAATTTAATTATTTAATTATTAAAATTTTAAATGTATAAATATAATTTTTATTAATGATTTTTATTATTTAAATACACACTATTTTTTCACAATTCTTTTTTTTAAGACTTTCTATTATTTGTCTAAGTTTTTTGATTCCCTGTATCGCTTGAGTGATTCTTAAGATTAGATATTCAAGTCTACTTGATCAGTTTCTGTAAAAAAGTAATTTAATTTCTACTCTTTAGATGAAGGTGGCCAGAGGAGACCACACATGATACTCTAGTCTTTGGTGACCTAAGATAAGTATGACATAAAAATGACAGCATAACTTTACTCAAATTCAAAGGTGATTATAAGAGTAAGAGACACCTCTATTTATAGATTAAGGGTGTCTCCAAATTGTAAAAGTTGGACCTAAAACTCAACCTTGGCTAGCTTGGAGAATAAAGTGAAAAATTCTTTCCATTAGGAGAATGTCAAGTATAAAAAATCCTTTCCGTTAGAAGAATGATATGTGACCACTACCTATGAGAAATCTTTTCCAATGTGAGTATGACACATGACCACTCTTTCAAAGTTTTGAACAACCCTTTCTTGAGCCCCACTTTAACTTTTGGATGCCCCACTTTGGTCAACATTGGGCCTTGGCCTTTGTTGACTTAGGTGATCTAAAACTTTATTCTACTTGGTCCAAAATACAAGGCCTAAGTTTATTCTACACCATGATGGCCTAAGAGAAGAAGAGCTTGATTTCGCTTTCCACTAATGACTCTTCTTGGATTTGCTTGACCATACTTCTAGTGTTTGGATCCTTGACTAAGGTTTTTCAGTCATGCATGGATGTTTGTATGGCAGTTGAATTGTCTATTTGAATTGTCTAATGAAATATGACCTATTGAGTTGAATTAGGAAGTTTGAATTAGCCTTAGAAACAATGTGATTGAAACTCTGTTATGATTGAATGATTTAAGTCTGTATTTGAGGTGGATTGTGTGGTTAAAATGTATATAATCTAAGAACAATTTGGTTTGGTCATCTAAGATTGGTTGAATTGTAGAGGCTAGTAAGTCCTAAATATGCACAATGTATGTTCTGCAGAATTATGCAGACTCGTTAGGCAAATATACTCTCGTTGGACAAGGTTAAAGTCTGGAAACTACTAACTTAGTTGTTGCTATACGAGATTTACTCGCTATGCGAAACCAACAAAGTCAAGGGATTCACTAACTTGGCCTTCGCTAGGCGAAAATATGATTGTTGGACGAGCTCAAAGTTAAAGAGTTATTGATTTGGTGTTCATTAGACAAGAATAATCTCGTTGGACAAGATATTTGTGATATATTAAGCTTGTGAGATTCAATGATGATCTCGTTAGAATATTCTCGTTTAATGAGATTAACAAAATCTAACATTAAACTCGTGTGTTTTGTTAGTTTATAATCGATAAAGGATTTTTTGTGAATGTTAATGTGATAATTGATTTGTGATGTTCATTTAAGAATGGTTGGAACCAATTCAAGGAGAAATTAGTTATAGTTTTGTTTAGTGTATGCTTTCTCATATGACAATTCAAAAAGTAGATATCTTGATATACTACCATTCAACTCATACAGAGATGTATGGGGTAGAAAAGATAATGATAAGTCTTTATCCTGAACTTTTGGTTTCATGTGTAAGAGATTAACCTTGTGAATAGTAGAATAACCTTTACGTTTATGACTCTCCAGAGCATAAATACTACTATGAATACACATCTATAGTGAAGTTCTATATCAAAACATGTATCCGAATAATTAAGTTTTGAGCCAACTGTTTATATAATTATATGATTTATAAAATATTATAAATGTTGAACTAATATGTAATATGTTAAATTGTTTTATAAATTTTTTTAATACTAGTTTATCTTATATTCTTTTTGTTTATATTATTTTTTTTTAATGATCATTTGTTTGGTGGAAACAGATAATAAATTAAATGTTAACATGTCTTTGGTAAAGGTCGAAGATGTTCTGGAGTGATCTTTTGGAGTTTTAGTTAAATGTTTCTTTAATAGTTATTTAGTTTTTGAAAAACTTGTATAATCCTTTATGTATTCTTGTACATATTCTATGTTAATATGATTATTATACCATATAACTCTATTGATAATTTGTATATTTCATATTTATCCACTGTGCATTATGAGAATTAGTAGTCCATACTCATACGGGATGTTACCCAATTAAGATCCACTAATTTTTCTTCGTCAGGAAAACCGTATAAAGCTTTAGTATATGAAAAAGAATATTAACTCAATAAAAAATGCAAGAGAAAAGAGTATGCGTGAATTTACAATTACTTGCGTGAATCTTTCACCGGTGTCCATTAACTCTATTTTCAGGTTTGTAAAGTGATACAATTTAGAATGAATTAGCTTTATTGCAGTAATATTTGATACAATGAAATGCTTATATTATTGTGTTCCATGATTCCATTGTTGTGTAAGATAAGGGATGAAAAACTCCATTTAGGTAAAAAAAACTGAAGCTACTACAGTAAAGCCAAGGCTAATCAGATACTGATGTAATTTGATACTAATTATTATTACATTTCCTCACATACTAAAGTTTCAAGTGGAATTACAAAATTCTGCGCATTACATCATCTCACGCAAGCCCAGAACATCAATTGACCAATGCAACCTATTATGGTATGCAAATATGACAGAGGAAATTAAAGAATACTTCAAGTTAAGCATGCATTTGTGGTGACCTATTCTTCTTCACCTTCTTCGGTCATCCCCGTATGTGTCTTCGGTTTCCTTATCCTTTAAGAAACCAAGAAAAGCAAGAAACCCAAAAAAGAAGAATCCGCCAGACCAGTTGCCTCCACCTCCGCCGCCTCCACCACCACCATCATCATCATCACGAGGTGGAAATCCAGTTCCTCCGTCGTCAAGCTGTGGTGACTTCTCCTTTCCTGAAAATTGAATTAAACCAGGATGAGCAATCTAGAACATGCTTGGGAATAAGAGTCTACACGTAACAGATAACATGTAGCACAAATTACAACGGAGTTAACTTTATTTTAAAGGACTTCTGCTCAATTTTCCATGTTAGGAAGCATGGTACTTCTTTTAGAAGGGGCAATAAAGGCTTGTTTGGAGAAACTTCACCATAAGCACTTCTAGAGAAAAAAGTAAAAAGGAAAAGTTGGATAAGTTTCTCCATAAACTAAAAGTAAAGTTAGTTTATAATGAGTTAATTCGTAGAAGTCATTTCAGGTAAGCTTTTCCAAACTCTGACTTATAACTCGCATATAAGATAATTTTAGCTTTGAAGAAGCTAAACTTTTTTCCTCTGAACAGGTCCTTAATTATTAGTTAAAAATAGACAAATAAATTGCAAAACAAGAAGGGATATGCCCTGACTAAAAGGACTCAAAAAACCAGTAATGATGGCTCAGCAATTACCAGGAATGTGAGTAATTGTAGGAGCCTCTCGAGTAACAGTTTGGGTTTGCTCTGCACCACATCTTGCATTCTGCACATATCAGAGGATGCTAGTAAATGGATGATCTATCAAATATTGTTTTTTTATTATAATTATGCGTGTGTAAAAAAAAATAAAATCTCAGCACATGTAAATTGTTTTAAAAATTCTTAGGATAAAAATGGGGAAATAATAGAATGAAAAATGTCTACAGGGTAAGGGACTAAAAGTACAGAAATGGTTAAACTTAGATATTTTCAGACCAAAGACAGATAACACATCAAAGCATGTAAACCTTGGATGCACATTGATGTATGATATTTAATGCCTTAAAGTAGAATGCCACAAATACAAATGAAAATCAATATACAACGTGACTTTTAAAAGTCATTTATTCCATGTTCCCAAAATGTCCCAAGTGGCCATTAAAGATGTTGCCTCAAATGAAGTTTTCCCCAAGTGGTTAGACTTTATATGCCTAGTAGGTCTGAACAAAACCAAGTTCTATATGAAAAAATATCAAATTTAGGGGAGTTAGCGTTCTGAAATGTGTCACTTGAGATTAAAACTGATAAAATATATTCTTGAGGGCTTAACTGATCCCTCTCATTATCTTCTATATATATCGAAAACACAAGAGTACATGAAACATTAAGAGTCTGCACTAGACCTCTAGGTACAGAACTAGGTACGACTCATTAATGGTCTAGTAGACAAGCCTTAATGATGATATATAACAGTAATTATTCTAACACTCCCCCTCAGGCTGGAGCATACAGATTGTATGTACCAAGCTTGGAACAAATAAGAGTTAGTCATTTGATCCAACAAACTCCTTAATGATCCAACAAACTCGGTACATATTTCTTTTGACAATAACTTTTCCCGAACAAAATGACAATCAATTTCTATATGTTTGGTTCTCTCGTGAAACACTGGATTTGATGCAATGTGAATAGCAGCTTGGTTATCACAATACATCTTCATACTCTGGATGTCACAGAAGCTAAGCTCTTGAAGGAACTGTTTCACCCCATATAAGTTCACATGTTAGTGACGCCATTGCCCTATATTCAGCTTCCGCTGTTGATCGAGCCACTACATTCTGTTTCTTACTTTTCCATGAGATAATGTTTCCTCCAAGGAAAACACAATATCCAGTAGTAGATCGTCTATCAATAGGAGAACCTGCCCAATCAACATCACAATATCCTTATACCTGAAGGCTTCCTTTTTCTTCATATAAAGGCCCTTGCTCGGGAGCCTTTTTCACATACCTTAGAATGCGAATGATAGCATTCCAATGGCCAACACATGGAGCTTGCATGAACTGACTAACCACTCCAACTGCAAAAGATAGATCCGGCCTTGTAATAGTGAGAGATTAGTTTTCCAATTAGCCTCCTATATCTCTTCGGGTCGAAGAATAACTCACCTTCTTTTGTTGTTAATTTTTGATTTGGGTCCATAGGACTGTTAACCGGTCTACAATCAAACATGCCTGTTTCTTGCAAAATATCCAGAGCATACTTCCTTTGGGAGATTACAACTCCATCTTTTGACTGAGCTACTTCAATGCCTAAGAAGTATTTGAGGCTTCCAAGATCCTTAGTTTGGAAATGTCTACACAAGTACTCCTTCAATTGAGATATTCCAGCAGTATCATTTCCTGTAATGACTATATCATTAACATATATCATTTCCTGTAATGACTATATCATCAACATATACTATTAAGTAAACACATTTCCCGCGAGACGAATGATAATAAAAGACTGAATGATCTGCTTCACTGCGTTTTAGCCCAAATTTTTGAACAATGGAGCTGAATTTTCCAAACCAAGCATGTGGTGATTGCTTGAGCCCATATAAAGATCGGTGCAATTTGCAAATCATACCAGACTCCCTCTGAGCAACAAACCCAGGAGGTTGCTCCATATAAACTTCTTCCTCAAGATCACCATGAAGAAAGACATTTTTGATATCCAATTGATGAAGTGACCAATGACGAATTGCTGCCAATGTCACCATTAGGGCCAACTTTAATTACATATACCCATCGACAACCAACAACCTTTTTGCCCGGGGGAAGTGGCACAAGCTCCCAAGTATTACTGTGATCAAGAGCCTGCATTTCTACAATCATGGCTTGGCGCCATCCAGGATGATCAAGTGCTTCTTTTACATTTTTGGGTATAACCACAGAAGACACTGAGGATAAAAGGGAACAAAAGGAGGGCGACAATCTGTGATAGCTAAGAAAATTATAATTGGGATGAGTGTTTCGAGTGGAACGAGTACCTTTTTTGGGAGCAATGGGCCAACCAAAATCATCTTCACCAGGAGGCGTGGCAGGAGGCGGTGAGGGAGAAGAATCTGAAGGAGGAGATCCACCATTTTCTGGAAGAGGACTACCCATCGGGGTACTGTGTCGGAAGATATCAATATATGGAGAGGAAGGTTCGGGAGGACCTTGAGCATGACTTGGATTGACTGAGACATTGGAGATATTGGACTCAACCACTGGAAGAGGAAGGACCTGTTGGAGGATATGAACATCTTTAACAGATGGAGAGAAGAAAGGTGTTTGTTCAAAGAATGTAACATTGGCAGACATGTAGTACTTCTTGGTTTCAGGAGAGTAACACCGATACCCTTTTTGAAGCCGAGAATAGCCTAAAAAGACACATTTGATCGAACGAGCGGAGAGCTTGTCTAGCCCCGGAGACATGTCGTGAACAAAACATACACAACCAAAAACTCGATGAGGGTTGTGAAAGAGAGGATCATTGGGAAAGAGAATGGAGAAAGGACTTTATTATTGAGAGAGGAGGAGGGCATCCTATTAATAAGAAAACATGCAGTCAAGATGGCATCCCCCAATGATGAACCGGAATATGGGCACCACGCAAAAGGGTACGGGCAGTTTCAACCAAGTGTCTATTTTTTCTTTCGACTATACCATTTTGCTGGGGTGTATGAGGACAAGTGGACTGATGCAAAATACCATGGGAGCTAAGGATTGCAGAAAAAGTGGATGAGAAATACTCTTTAGCATTATCACTTCTTAAGATTTTAATTACTTGACCAAATTGGTTCTTGATTTCACTCAAAAAGGATGTGAAGATGGGTAACAATTCAGAGCGATCTTTCATTAGATAAACCCAAGTACATCTAAAACACTCATCAATAAATGTAACAAAATACCTAAAACCAAAAGAAGAGACGCGACTGGGTCCCCAGACATCAGAATGAATAATAGAAAAACTAGAATTACACATTAATTGAGACCTTTTAGGAAAGACAGATTTAACATGTTTTCCTAGTTGACAAGACTCACATTCTAAAGTCTGAAGACCACTAGTTCAGGACACATCTTTTTTAACTTTGACAAGTGAGGATGGCCAAATCGGTCATGTAACACTTTAGGGGGAAGTGCTGCAACACAGGATACCCGTGGACGAGATCCAAAATGGTATAAACCTCAAACTTCATATCCTTTTCCAATTTGTCTCCCCGAACCACGCTCCTGTATAACAAAAGATTTTGAATCGAAAATTATTGAACAATGTAACATTTTGGTTAACTGACTTAAGGAAATTAAGTTGAATGGACAGTTAGGGACAAAAAGAACAAATTTCAGAATTAGAGAGGGAGACAGGGAGACTTGGCCGACTCCCTTTGAACAAGTTTTAGAGCCATTTGCAAGGGTAATGAAATGGGGTTTTTCTTTGAGGGAAAGGGTTGAGAACAATGAGGTATTACCATAGATTTGATCAGAAGCACCCGAGTCAATTACCTATGAATTTTGACCTTCCATGGATTGAGAAATGCAAGCTGTGGACGTACTACTGAGATGATTGTGCCAAGCTGTTAGACTTTAATCGCAGATACTCTTCCTCAGTGAACTTGGAGTTGGAAGTGCGAGTTTCAGCTTTAGAGATATTGGTTGTTTTTGAAGGAAAACCATGCAAGGAATAGTAGCAGTTTTCTTGGGTGTGACTCACCCTCTTACAACAAGCGCACTGTGGACGTCCCCGACCTCCACGTCCTCCTCCTCTAGTGCCACGTCCTCCTCCTCTAGTGCCACGTCCTCCTCCTCTAGTGCCACGTCCTCCTCTTCCTCGCGTGGCAACCATGACAGATGGTTCCATTGTTTCATGAGCTTCCTAAGATTGAGGCACTGGAACACAAAGAAGACGTGTGGTCAAGGCTTCCAAGGGAGGGACCTCATAACTTGTCAGAAGTTGATCTCTGATATTATTCAAATCTGGATGTAAAGCACGGAGGATCATCACCATATAATACTTGTCAAGCTTCTTCTTGATGTCTTCCGAAGATTCCACTTCCAAGAACATTCTCAACTCTTCCACATCTGCTTGGGCTTCAGTCATGAAGGAGACCATATCATGGTCTGTCATTTTGAGACATGCAAGCTTGTTTGCTATATCATATAGACGTTGAATATCATTAGCATAAATGCTGAGCTTTCTTCCAAAAAGAGTGATTGAAGGCTCTAAGAGATATCAACAGTCGGGGTTCCACAGATTGCCACAATAGGGCACACAATTGGCAATCTGCTTGTTTCCATTGTTCAGCTTTTTCAGAAGGTACTTGGCTTCCATCCTACTCAAAGTGGTCATAATGTCCTTGATCGAGGAACCACATTTCCACGACAGCAGACCAAGATAGATAATTCTTTCCGTTTAGCTTTTCGGAAGTAATTGAGAAAGAAAGAACACTTCCAGACGCCATTCTTGACAAAAATAGGAGAAAGAAAAGTGCGACAGTGAGGAACCAGAAAACCCTAGAGGGTTTCTTAGGGTTTTCTTCAAGGGGAGCTTCTGGACTTCACTGAAGTAAGGTTTTGAGGGTCAGAACAGAGAGAGGAGGCTCAGGCGACAGCTATGGAGGTGTCACGGTGACTTTCCGACGGGCAGAGGGCAGCGTGTGAACAGTACGCGCCTGTTCACAACGCACGAAGAAGCTGCGCGTGGCGGAGCGTGGAGGAGAATCAGACTCCGACACCGGTGGGGTGGTCGTCGCATGAAGAGACGAACCAGATCCAGTGGTTGCCGGACGAAACAGTGACGTCGGACGGCGGCGGACAACGGCGGACAGATGTGAGATGGCAGAGAACCAAGTTGAAGAGCTTCAAATTGCAGTTGACAGCTACAGATAGTGACAAGACAACCACGGACAACGGCAAAGGACACTGGACATATGCGAACAGTAATGACAATGCTGGTGGACAACCCAGGACAGAAACCAGAGCAGGATGAACTGCTCTGATACCAACTTGAAATTAAAACTGATAAAATATATTCTTGAGGGCTTAACTGATCCCTCTCATTATCTTCTATATATATTGAAAACATAATAGTACATGGAACATCAAGAGTCTGCACTAGACCTCTAGGTACAGAACTAGGTACGACTCATTAATGGTCTAGCAGACAAGCCTTAATGATGATATATAACAGTAATTATTCTAATAGTGTCAAAAGAATCAAAGGTGAACTTTAGAAAGTAAAGAACATTACCAAAGCTGCAGAACATATTATAGTTGCTGTTTGAGGAGAGCGAGCTCTTGTACCAAATGGAAACTGTGCACAACTAGGAGATTTTGAATTATTAGTTGTCCATGATAGTCTTGGTAAACTCAATGAGGTACCAACATTCTGCTCGTTGTGGTGGCCACCTCTTCTCACTGTTAGCAAAAATACAATCACTGTTAGAAATGAAATTCAATTAGGGATTGCAAAGGGTTACATTAATCACTGTAACCCATACAAATAGAGAGAACAAATGTATATGAAAGCAGTTCATTTTACACAAATGCGGACAATAGGACAACCTGTACTAAATCTTCACCTCACACTGAATCCAATCCATTGTGTAATTAAGAAATTAGATGAAATTTTTACATGAAAGTGATATGTTGAAAATTTCGGATTTCAAACATGGATACGTTAATGCTTGGATCATAAAGCTACCAACAATGCAGTGAAACATGCATCAATTTTGTTTGCAGGTTGCTCAATCTAGACCTCTGGTCACACCACCACAGCCTAAGAACTTTTGTTGGCAAAATCTCACATTCCTATAAAGTATACTAATATTGGTCCAAGCACTTCTATGTGCAGGAATTGTGCTGTCTCTTATACCCATCTTAGCTTTTCGGAAGTAATTGAGGGACTTCCAGAGAAAGAAAGAACACTTCCAGACGCCATTCTTGATAAAAATAGGAGAAGGAAAAGTGCGACAGTGAGGAACCAGAAAACCCTAGAGGGTTTCTTAGGGTTTTCTTCAAGGGGAGCTTCTGGACTTCACTGAAGTAAGGTTTTGAGGGTCAGAACAGAGAGAGGAGGCTCAGGCGACAGCTATGGAGGTGTCACGGTGACTTTCCGACGGGCAGAGGGCAGCGTGTGAACAGTACGCGCCTGTTCACAACGCACGAAGAAGCTGCGCGTGGCGGAGCGTGGAGGAGAATCAGACTCCGACACCGGTGGGGTGGTCGTCGCATGAAGAGACGAACCAGATCCAGTGGTTGCCGGACGAAACAGTGACGTCGGACGGCGGCGGACAACGGCGGACAGATGTGAGATGGCAGAGAACCAAGTTGAAGAGCTTCAAATTGCAGTTGACAGCTACAGATAGTGACAAGACAACCACGGACAACGGCAAAGGACACTGGACATATGCGAACAGTAATGACAATGCTGGTGGACAACCCAGGACAGAAACCAGAGCAGGATGAACTGCTCTGATACCAACTTGAAATTAAAACTGATAAAATATATTCTTGAGGGCTTAACTGATCCCTCTCATTATCTTCTATATATATTGAAAACATAATAGTACATGGAACATCAAGAGTCTGCACTAGACCTCTAGGTACAGAACTAGGTACGACTCATTAATGGTCTAGCAGACAAGCCTTAATGATGATATATAACAGTAATTATTCTAATAGTGTCAAAAGAATCAAAGGTGAACTTTAGAAAGTAAAGAACATTACCAAAGCTGCAGAACATATTATAGTTGCTGTTTGAGGAGAGCGAGCTCTTGTACCAAATGGAAACTGTGCACAACTAGGAGATTTTGAATTATTAGTTGTCCATGATAGTCTTGGTAAACTCAATGAGGTACCAACATTCTGCTCGTTGTGGTGGCCACCTCTTCTCACTGTTAGCAAAAATACAATCACTGTTAGAAATGAAATTCAATTAGGGATTGCAAAGGGTTACATTAATCACTGTAACCCATACAAATAGAGAGAACAAATGTATATGAAAGCAGTTCATTTTACACAAATGCGGACAATAGGACAACCTGTACTAAATCTTCACCTCACACTGAATCCAATCCATTGTGTAATTAAGAAATTAGATGAAATTTTTACATGAAAGTGATATGTTGAAAATTTCGGATTTCAAACATGGATACGTTAATGCTTGGATCATAAAGCTACCAACAATGCAGTGAAACATGCATCAATTTTGTTTGCAGGTTGCTCAATCTAGACCTCTGGTCACACCACCACAGCCTAAGAACTTTTGTTGGCAAAATCTCACATTCCTATAAAGTATACAAATATTGGTCCAAGGACTTCTATGTGCAGGAATTGTGAAACAGATGCAAAATAAAGTGATGAGAACTGTAATTTCTTCAATACTTATCCTAAACACAAGTTTAAATTGAAATGCAAAAAGTCATAAATCGTCATTACCTGGTGGTAACACGGGCAAAGAAGTAACAGCACTAGTAGCCAACATTGATAACCAGGCAGGAAGACAGCTGACATGAAAACAAAATTTGAGTTTAGAAAAACAAAAAGTTATATGTATAACTGAAGAAAATAGAAGATAATATCAGTAAACAATGTCAAAAGACGGATAAATTCTCCAACAAACTTCCAAGATGATAATAAAAGATCAAAACACAACCAAAAAAAGAGCCAAGAATGGAAATCAGCATAGATTATTATAGTTTTCTTTTTTAATGAAAAAAAATGTTTAGGTGACGGTATGGCAGAAGGTTCTCCACATTGCAGGGGCAGCTTAGAGTTATCATGGGCAGAGGGTTGAAGATGAGCTCCATTTATACAACTTTATAGTTAAGTGATGATTAGATTGCCAGCAGATTCAATTGTCCAATGCAAATAAGAAATAAATCAATTTGTCATCATCTTCTACTCTTCAAACTTCAGCTTCATTGATTTAAAAAACATTCTCCACTACTTCCTAGCCATCTTGTTTAATGTGAGAACTTTCATAAGAGGGTAAACATAAACAGCAAAGATCTAGCAAAAGGAAATCAGAAATTTCTTAAGTAGAATACATTCATTGTTGAATAATTGGAATACAAATTGTTTTACATCAGTCTCAAGTTCTTATTCACTCTGTCATACATCCTATGAATCTAGTGCAAATGATTAGTCAACATAAAAACATTTTACACCACTGTCCAAGAATATGAATCACTGCCAAATAATTAAATATGTCTGACATCTCGAAATATAGTCAACTTGCCATTCACCAAACTCATTAAAAGACAAAACAACTATTGGTAGATGGTAATCAACATTTCTTTACATTGTCAGAGCATCCAAATTAAAACCCCATTTCACAATTCAAACTCTAATCACTTCAACGTCTTTGAAACTCTTATCCCATGACACAAGTACCAAATCCCTTAGACCTATTTCCAGAACCTCTAAAATTCGATTTTTCTGCATACACAACACCCTCCACCATAAGAAAATAACACACGTCTCAACACAAACACAAACAGAACCATGTACGAGGAAAATTGCCTTGTTTTTCATAACCAACAGCTTCTAATGAAACTCAACGGGAGAATTTACAGCACAACAAACCAATCACAAAGTGATAAATGGTGGCCAAAAAGACGATCAAAATTGAACCTTTAAGTTGATATCATATAAAGGAACAAAAATTGGTAACTTACCACTCGGGGCGCCGATTTCTTTCAAATTAACAAATTGTGCGAACGAAAAAGTATGGAGGGATTGCAAAATAGTGTTTCAATTGGAAGCTCCTTCTGAGAAAAGAAAACCCTAATGTAACAGAGGAAGAAGAAGATAGAGGGAAGAGAGAAACCAAATTGTTTCCAATTCACAAGGAACGTTAAACTTCATCCACATCTTTATTTATTTATTATTATTAGAAAAATAATATTGCGGCGGTCAAATGTTTTAGCTATAACATTATATAAAATTTTTTTTCTTCCAATCTTATCTTTTAATTAACTATTTTTTAAAATTAATTAATTATTTTATTAACATTATATTTTAATTTTTTTTAAATTTGAACTATTAATTTATTTAATCATTTTTAAATTTAATTAAATTTTTAAGTTAAAATAACCATATAATAAAAATATTATAAAACAAATAAAAATTAACTATAATAAAATTTTAAAAATTGTTTATATTTATTTTTATAATTATAGTAATTTTATTATGTTTTATTATCTATAACACATGTGCACATAACATGTATTTCTATTAGTAATAACTGGTACATATGTATGTGCATTTTTTTATGGTAACAAAAGATAATAATATTATTATTTATTATAATTAAAAGTTTTGATGATTTTTATTTATTTTGTATGTAATTTTTTTATCACAAAAAATATTTATTTTTTTAAAAATTATTAAATCTAAAAAATGGTTAATTTAGAAAAAATATCAAATTTTAAAAAAGATATAAGTTATAATTATATATTTATAATTATATATATACCTCTTTAATGCTTTTCTTTTTTCCAATTTTATTCTCTTAATTATTATTTTTTAAATTTAAATAATTATTCACAATAGAAAATTGTTTTTCAGTTTTATCATTTTAGTAATTACATTCTTCCAATTATTCATTATAAAAGAATTTTTTATTCTTTTATTTAAATAATTACTCATAATAAAAAAATTACATAATATTATTTATAACTAAAATTTATTTTATCTAAAATTATATTTATAATTATATATATTTTTTGTTTTTTCAATTTTATATTTTTAATTATTATTTTTAAAATTTAAAATATTTATTAGTATTTAAAAAATGCGTACATATTATTTAAACATTAATTGACTAATTATATTTTGTACTACATAGTTTATTTATTAATAACGTTTTAATATCCTTTTGTAATTTCAATATCTTTTCTCTCACTAAATTTAGAATTTTCTTAATTTAAAGAAAATGCAAGAGACAATAATTTTTTTTATCCAACTTTTTATATCAAATGAGACACTAATTGTCAAACCATTCAGATAAAAATGGAATCGAGGTGTATGCAGCTGGTTGGACTAAGCGGTTTTTGACGGTAGTATATAAGTAAACTTTTCAAAACTTCGAGCCACTTTCTGTATGCACCTCTTCTCTCCAAATTCCTGAGTTTTATTTTCTCATCCTTCTCTCTAAAATTTTCCTCATTCTCTCTACAAACTCTCACCTTTTCCTTCTTCTGATCATTAACCAGGTTGTGCCTGAGGTTTTTCCTGGTGGCAAGAGTCTCTCTTTTCACCAATCAAGTTGTTGTTTGGAGTTGGTAAGTTAAATTCACTCGTTCTTTGAAGTTTCTGTATTTTCTGATACATGCAAGCACTGTTCAGCTTGCATGTGTTCATCATCTACTTCTCTGAATCTGTTTTCTGCCTTTGATCCTCTGGTAGGTTCCTTTTCACCCATCAGAAATTAGTAGGTTGCCTTAAAAGTTGCTTGCTAGTTAGTCAAAACTGTGGAAGCATAGGAAGTGTCGGGTCTATTCGAGGTAAGGGAAGTTAGTAATTTAATTATGTTTGTTTATGTTTGAAATGATTGGTTGAACGTGTGCATGTGTGAATAATTTGACATTGGCTTGATTTCTGTGTATTGCTAAGACCTGTGAACTGGTTGAGAAGTTCTGTAGAATTATGTAGAAAGCAGAACGCTCATTGTTGAACGCTCGGTTAGGTCATGTAATCGGGTTTAGCGGTATTCGGTTTTGCAGTGATATTTTAACTTAGTGTTGTTCGGTTTAGTATTGACGTTCAGTTTTATAAATACTTGTTTTCGACCTCGGCAGTCTTTGGGTTGGTATTAACGTTCGTTCTTAGTCGTACTATGTTTAGCGTTCGGTGTTAGTAGTATTCGGTAGTCATAGCGATCGGCCTGCTCGGTCATTAACCGAGTTTGTTCTCTTTAGTGTTACCGATGTTGAACGTTTGGTCTTAGGTGTGTTGGTCGTTCTTGATAGTGCTCGGTCTTGTACTAACGCTCGTTCTCGGTAGTGTTCGGTCTTGTACTAGCGCTCATTCTTGGTAGTGCTCGGTATTGTACTAGCGCTCGTTCTTGGTAGTGCTCGGTATTGTACTAGCGCTCGTTCTTGGTAGTGCTCGGTATTGTACTAGCGCTCGTTCTTGGTAGTGCTCGGTCTTGTACTAGCGCTCGTTCTCGGTAGTGCTCAGTCTTGTACTAGCGCTCGTTCTTGATAGTGATCGGTCTTGTACTAGCGCTCGTTCTTGGTAGTGCTCAGTCATGTACTAGCGCTCGTTCTTAGTAGTGCTCGGTCTTGTACTAGCGCTCGGTCTGAGCTATATGCATTCGGTTTAAGTTTTTAAGCGTTCGTTTTAAACTCTTAGGGTTTGGCTAAGCTCCTAGTAGTAAGCTTTTCTCTAGTAATCAGCCAGTATTTACGTTTGGCAATTTCTTCAGTTGTATCTATTATGGATCGTTTGATCCTATCTTTTGGGTAGTGTGAAGGTGTCTGGTCTCCAATGTTCACAGGTTCTCTTTGTCTTATGAGTGAAAATATAACTGATGAATGACTGTTTATGTTAATTTATGAGAATTATGCTTTCAAAACTGTGGAAGAGAATTCCAAGGTGGAATGTCTTGTGGATGGTTATTGAATTGTAAAGTATGAATATGGATATTGCTAAGCTGACGTTCATCCTGAAATTCTATGAGTATCATTCTCACATAGAGAGACATATTTCATTTGTGAGAATAACAGGAGGTCCTACCACCTCAGGGTGCCGAGGTAGGTATTATGGGATTAACCTTGGGTAGTAGCTTGAATGGTGTTAGCTGTTACATTACCACAAGTGCAATGACGACTGTAGCTACATATTCATACAATTCGGATGGTCAAGTCATAGTGTTCGGTCTATATATAAATTGTGGTGTTCATTTTGTATAAGATTGCTTGTATTGTTGTTGGCATGAGGTAGCGTTCGGTCTCACATGGTTTGAACTTGTATGAAATGTATAAATATGTTTATAATTAAATTACATTAGCTTATCCTACTTTCTTGTTTTGTCTTGTATTGTCCGTCCGATTACCTTTTCTCTTGCAATGATCATCCTTTGGATGTGAGCAGAAGGCGATGAGTGTTCGGTGGAACAAGCGTTGGAAGGCGAGGATCCTGCAGCCTAGTTAGGACTGTTCGGTCATTAGACTTAGCTTATCTTTTGTAAACCGATCGGTTTATGCATAATGTTGTATAACCGTTCGTTATGTGATGTTTTGTATAAACCTAGTTGTAGAACCGTTCGGTTTATTTCCTATGTCTTGATTTATACTTATGGTGCTCTGTAAAGTTTTTAATTTTATAGTTATTTTGGATAACTGTAATGTTACATACTTTACTAACTTTTGGAGAACTGATCTAGCATATTGTTATATGTGATTAATCTATGATATAGTATTATGTTATATTTTGGGATGTTATATTAATGGTATCAGAGCAGTTAGTTTCTTATAAATTCTGTAGGTTATGAGTATACTGTGGTTGTTCTGTGTACTCAGTGTTTGGTTTAGATAATGTTTCTGTCTCCTTGAGTTAAACTAATGGTTCTTTCTCTCTGTTAAACCAGAAGATGGCACCTAGACCTCCTTCTCCCCCACCGGCAGATACAGATGCACCAGACAACACCCGAATGTTGGAGTCCATAATAGCAGCCATGTAGCAACAGAACGCTGCATTAGTTCAACAAAACACTGTGGCTCTACAGAATTTGGAGGCTGCCAGGGTATCAACAAAGATAACCCAAAGACAACTTGTGGACATGATGACAAGTGGCATAAACACAACCGGGCCGTCTACTTCTTCTGTTAGTCATCAACTCAAATGGAGTTTTGGAGAGTTTTCTTCAACATCATCCGGCCAAGTTTGATGGTAAATGTAGTTCAGACGCCATTGATCAGTGGTTATGCGACATGGAAAGGATTTACAACGCTAAGAGATGTCCATATGACAATAGGTTGGCGTTCTCTGAGTACCTACTGACTGGAGAGGCCAGTCACTAGTGGAGTAGCATGAGGATGCTACTAGAGAGCAGTGGTACTCCCATCTCTTGGGAAAGTTTCAAGAAGTTTTGTGAAGAATACTTCCCTAATAGTGTCCTGTTTGCCAAAGAGGTGAAATTTCTCGAACTGGTTCAAGAAGGGATGACTGCATCTGAATATACTGATAGGTTTAAACACCTAGTGAGGTTTTATACAATGGCCATAGATGAGGAGTGACAGTGTAGAAAGTTTGAAAGTGGGTTAAGAGGGGATCTTAAATTGTTGATCTCCAGTTTGTGCATCAAGTCGTTTTCTTCTTTGGTGGAAAGGGCCAAGGTATTAAAGAAAAATACGCTTGAAGTAGAAAGACAACAGAAGCAACAACAGAATATTGGAGGGCCGACTTCTTCCCGAATTAGTCTCGGTCCTAGGAAGACTCCTTATGCTCGGCCTCCTTCTTCAAGATCTAGAGGTTAGTCTCCAAGACCTCCAGTACAGTTCGGGCAGCCAAACGTCCCTGTGAATGTGAGGTGTTTTTCTTGTGGGGGTCCACACTATCAACCGGTTTGTCCTTAGAAGAATAGTAGTAGATGGTGTATTCGATGTGGAAGTGCAGGGCACTACGAGAGAGACTGTACTCTGGGAGAAAGAGCTAGTGGTCAACCGCAACATGTAGGAAGGTTTCATCCAAGAGGTGGTGGTGGTGGAGGAAGAGCTCAGGCTGTTGGTCGAGTATATGTACTAACAGGAACAAAAGCAACAAGTTCAGGTAATCTCATTGTCAGTTCTTGCTTGTTGTATGGAATATCTTGTTGTGTGCTTTTTGATTGGGGGCAACA